GATTATTGTAGAAGGAGAGGGTGAGAGTGAGAGAGGAGCTTGGTGTGTCCAAAGAAGTCCCCCTGGCAGTCTAAGCCTATAGCAGCTTAACTAAGGGCTGGTCCAGGCTAACCTGAGCCAGCCCTAACTATAAGCAAAATCAAAGAGAAATCTATGGAGCGCAGCTGCCTTGTAGGGCAATACGGTGTTACAAGCTCTCTAAGATAAGACAGTGCTTCACCAGAAAGTGCCTTGTAGGTGAGGAGAATTACCTTAAATTATATTCTTGATTTTAGGGAGTCAGTGCAGAGAAGTTAATACAGGAGTAATATGATCCCTTTTCTTAGATCTTGTTAATAGCTGCAGCATTCTGACTCAACTAGAGAGGCTTAAGCGTTTTACAAGAGCAGCTTGATAATAAAGAATTGCAGTAATCCAGTTTAGAAGTAACAAACGCACTTTGAGACAGGAAGTTCCTGATTTTCGATTTATTACGTAGACGATAAAAGGCAGTGCTTGAAGAGACCGCCAAGATTCTTGACGGTACTGCTGGATAGCATTTGACAGCTGACTTCGATCATGATAACTTCTGTTCTTTCTGAGTTTAGCATCAGGAAGTTGCAGGTCATCCAAGTTTTGATGTTTCCAAGACATTCTTGAAGTCTAACAAGCTGATCAGTTTGCACTGTTATTTTTTAAACAGTACAGATGTATAATTCTTTGAGTGTAAAAATGTATTCTTTTGAATATTTAAGCTGTATTTTATAACATTCAGTTTGTTGTGTAAAATAACATATTTAACACATTAGGGAGAAAACCTGGACTCAAACATTGATTTTCAATAGAATTTCATTAATGAATTAACAGATCAACACTTTTTTTAATAGAACATTTGAATTTCCTATTCAGAGGGTGAAAGATTGGGCTGCACAAAGCCATATAATCCTCCGACATACTTTCTTTATTGTTTAGTGTCAGGCCATTCATTTACTTTACACGATGTAAGTGTAGAGAGAGCAACAAAGTGGGAACTTTGTGGTGAATAGATGTATCAAACAAACATAGGACTTTTACCCTGTGTTTCCTTTGTGGAACCAAAGGTTAATGTTGACTTCTTTCAAGTTTACTTAACAATGCACCATTACCACTTGTTAAGATCAACTACAAGTACAAACATTAGACTACTTATACCGTGTATCAGTATGATTACTTCATGATACCATTAGGGTGCTAAAAATGACTTTATAGTCCCGATTGACCCGATTAATTCAAATATACAATGATACTGATGATGATGCAGTGGATCAACTTTGTGTTTTCCTGATGCAAACTGAGCACAGCTGACAACCTCACAGTTAAAACATGGAGACTTACTGGAGACTCAGCTGCCTATTTTGCTCGTACGCTGCAGCTGGCGGTAGATGATGGATTTAACCTCTTTGTGCATCGGGATGATTTTGCAGCTTGGCATTTTTGTCCACTCAACCCACGAGAGGTTAACGTCATGCTGTGGTATTACGTCAGGCGCAGTCGTATCGTATTACTTAGGAGTACATAACCACAACTCAACCACAACTGGAGTTGTCACATTCTTAACGTAGGAGGCATAACTTTACAAACAGTACCAGATTCAATTAACCCAGAAGCTTTCTTCAAACTTTTGATTGTATTTCACTAACAATAGGAGGTCAGACGTGTTATCAGATATCTCATTTTTGGTTACTGAAAAATGTAACATTTAGAGTTTAGAATATTTTTATACTCATTGGCTATTTTTTTGTAAAGAAGACTAAACATAAACATTTTGTTGAAAATAAATAATTACATTTGCTAGTCATTTTAATGTATTTATGAGCAGTTAGGGCATGTGCATACCTTTGTCCCCAGCCAATTTAATATACTAAAAGAATGTGGCCCTAATAAACCATAACTGTGGAGTCGGTCTGTGTACGGAACATAACAGCTGCTAGTAAACAATTTGATTTTTCCACAGTGCACAGCTGTTTCTTGGAGCTGCTCTCAATCAATGCTGATCACTAATGAACATGGGCTGTGAGGACTGTGAGCCTGTGTTTGTGGAGACAGGTGAGCCTGCACGGTTTTGATCTTTCAAACATGTATTCCATCTCTTCTCCCACCACAAGGGAGCCTCCATCCAAGGTCAGTGCTCAAACGGCAGGGTGCACCATGGGAAATGAGCCTGAACAGAGCGAGTGCCAGCCTCCTGCTTTCATGCGATCAGCACAGCTTCAGAAGGATCGGACTGACACTAGTGAAGTCTCCAGGTATCACCCATCACTACCTGTTTCTGCCACAGAGGGAAACCAAAGGCCTGCTCTAATTGTATCATTAATATCATTGCAGTCAGAGAGCCAATTATTCTCTCCTTGAGAGTTCACTTGTCCCAACCTTGAATCGGGCTTTACACCGTTATTTGAGCATGGACTAGCTGTGTTAGTGAAAGAGGAGCTTTTCCAGTCATCTGTGATCAAAGCTGTGTGGATACTGGATTCTTCTTCCAAGTTCAACACGCGACGGTACAACTAGCCTCAAATGGCTCGTAACAAGGAAACAGTGCAGCGTGATTTATGTTGTCTAATGATGTACATGTACCAGTCAAGTTTTGGTTCACTTTCTGAAACTTAGTTTCAATTCAAGTTATATATTTATATACAGAAGAACCATTCATATATTTCTGAAGGGAAAACAAGAGCCTGAAGCAGTTACTGACTAATAAGTAACTAAGGACATTTAATGGTTTTTAAAATGTATTTTCAAATAACCCTCTAATAAAGGTTTTCTAAAAGCACTGCAACTACAAGAACTCCTTGAGCATACAGTCATAAATTAGTTTGAAATATATTATGCTGATAGGTTGAGCACTATGAGAAAAGGGCTGTGGACAGACCAATAGACATACACTTATACACACACGACTAAGACATCATCTCTGCAGAGATAAAAATGGAGCAGCAGCATGACATCCCATGACTACAATAAAAGCACGTACATAGAATATCTTCAGCATGACAAATCAGGGCTGTGACTTATGACAGATATTCTGGCCATTACTGACCCAGGCCAATCTTTCTCCATTATAAACTACATTTTGGGTGTTGGTGGCTCGGTAGTGTTTTTCACACCTGCTTCAGGCTAAAGAAACACTGATGAATTTAACAGGAAACCAATCCATCTGAGCGAGCCGATTTGTCAGGAGTCAGCGACTGGATTGGCTGCTGAATGTTTATCCAAAACCATCGGGAAACCTTCTAGGGAGGGGAAGTGCAGACAGACCTGCACTGTCAAATAATACACTGTCCAATTCACATCAAAGACCTACCTTAAGTTGTCCAAGAACCTCATGTTCTCCATTGCAGCAGGTACTGACCAGTGAGAGGTCAAAATGTAACCGGGTCAGTAATGTCTCCATTTTACCTGTGGCAAAGGGTGGAGTAAAGCTTTAGCTTTGTGTTGGGTAATTGATTCAATGGTAACAATAATTTTTACCTTTTTCATTTTGACAAATTCCACTGATCTTGAACCAGTCTGCATGCAGACCAAGAAGGTGCCGATGTAAAGAAAACCATTATTAAGCTGAAGGAACTAAATTACCTATCTGCATTAGGATTAGGATTCAATATTTTGAATCAATTGCAGACCCTTAATCTGCTTAATTAATCATGGAATAACAAGGTAACCGGTTGTACCTGGGCATCAAACCACCTGTAGAACAATTGTCCAATCACTTTGCACTCTCTGAAAATGGGGATGATTGTGTAAAAATGTCCGTAGGAACTTTTAATGTGGTGCTTTAGTTGTATCCATACACTTCTACCCAATATTGACTGCTTCAGTTCAATCATTTGGAGGTCAAAGTCAAAATTCTTATGGCGCCGACGGTCAGTCATAGAGACATATGTATTAAATTGAGGCTGTTTCATGTAAAGTTCCTCACAGTAACTTCAAATTCATTGCCAACTTTGCACACACTGTATTCAAAGTTTGATACTTGACCTTGTCAAACCACCACCCACAATTCCTAACACAGCATGGCCTCATTCCCAGCCCTTCCTCTAGTGTCCTGAGCCAAACGACACCAAAGGGTTTACCATCAAATACCACACTTTTTCCCTCCAAAGGCTCACATGCCGTTCCCCCTACAATAATTCACTCATCTATCCTCTGTTCCAGTCAAGGTCAAGTCCTGTGATATCTTAATTAAGGAAGAAAAGGAAAGAGAAAGTTTTCTGTCTTCAAATGAAGCCTCAAATTTGTGAGCTGTTCAATCAGATCTTTTAAACTCACTTAACCCCTGATTAATCCCTGGCGCTCCTCCGTGGGCCGAGCTTCCTGCTAATGAAATTAAGCGCAAAAAAAGTCAGCATAACAGATGCAGCACACATCGCTGGGACACAGGCAGCAAGAGCCGGAGACTCTGCAGATGTGTTAAAACTCAGGAGCTGTGTAGCTCTCAGGATGCCCGTCTGCACCATCATTTTCTCAGTCCTCTTTGAGCAGCGCTGAACTGAGAGAGAAAACACCAGCCGGACATACACAACGACATCTCTGAACAAATCAGCACAATACGCACATTCATATGAACAGCCTCTAAATTACCATCTTCACCTATAATTTACAAATATCTGCTCAACAATAAATTTGTGAAATTATTTAAGATTTACATTGTTATCTCCCCCCGCGACCCTGTGTGCTGGATAAGCGGTTTGAAGATGGATGATTATCTACATATAATCATCGTGCAAATATCATTAATGTGACATCAATGTTCAATTTTCAAATAACACTGTTATTAACAACTGCCAAATAACAATTGTTATTGCCTATTTATTACTAAAATATTATTTAGGTACTCTGCATGTTATTTTTTAACCAATTTTTTAATAATAGTATAAAAGTAATCTTGGTATTACATTTCTGCAAAAGAAAGAAATGTATGTCAGTTATATCTCTGCAATACAATTGTTTTTGAGCCCTGGGTGGAAGTAATGAGAACAGCAATATTTCCAAATATACTTTATTTTGTAAAATATCAGCAGTGTTTAAATTAAGACTTTCACGGTCTGAGGGACAGATCGATGAATATTGTTTTTCATCACTTAAATTTCATTAAGTTTAATTTGTCACAACCTTCGCCATCACTTCCAAACATACATTCATTATGTGACAAAGTTGAATCACCTCTTAGTCATTTCATAACTAGATGTGCACATTACATAGAGCAATGGCAGCAGTTTGCTCTGTGTCACAGAAATTGGTCAAAGCACTGATCATGAGTGTGCCTCAGAGATTAGCTCAACGCTGCTCGGTTGCACACTGACAGGCTTGTGTGGCGAGTCTGAGGTTCTGATTGCTTGTTAGAACAGGGAGTCTACAGATTCAGGCCATAGGCAGCTCATGGTAGGCAGCATACTGTCCAGTCACATGATGGTAGATCTGTTTAAACACAAAAAGAAAAAACTCAATTACATGCAGAAAGGTGAGTTTTGGAAAAGGTGGTGTGTGTGTGATAAGTCCCCACCTGCCTCTCGATGTCAGCCAACAGGCTGCTGGCTCCCAGGCGGAACAGGGTCGGACAGAGCCAGTCTTTACCCAGCTCCTCTTTGATGAGAGCGAGCCACACCAGGGACTCCTGAGCCGTTCGGATCCCCCCTGCTGGCTTAAAGCCCACCTGAAAGTATACGTAGACCTTGGTTAACAGGATAGGATGCTTCACTTAGAGCTGGGTTACAGCTTGGAGGGGGCCTGGGAGTATGCTCATCCAGTCTAGATGATGTGTTTTGTGGACCTGGAAAAGGGATATGACCGGATCTCCCGAGAGATAATGTGGGAGGTGCTGCGGGAGTACGGGGTTCCTACTTGAGGCCATCCAATCCCTGTACACCCAAAGCGAGAGCCGTGTTCAAGTGCTCGGCAGTCAGAGGCGTTTCCGGTGGGGGTTGGCCTTCGCCAGGGCTGTGCCTTGCCACCAATCCTGTTTGTGGTCTTCATGGACAGGATATTGAGGCGTAGTCAGGGGGAGGAGGGTCTACAGTTCGGGGGTGCTGCAGATTTCATCGCCGCTTTTGCAGATGATGTGGTCCTGACGGCATCCTCTGTCTGGGACCTCCAACTCTCACTGGAGCGTTACGCAGTCAAGTGTGAAGCAGTCGGGATGAGGATTAGCACCTCTAAATCTGAGGCCATGGTTCTCAGCAGCAACCGATGCATTGCCTACCCCAGGTAGGGAATGTGTCCTTACCCCAAGTGAAGGAGTTCAAGTACCTCGGGGTCTTGTTCACGAGTGAGGGGAAGATGGAGTGTGAGTTTGGCTGGAGAATCGGAGCAGTGGAGCGGTATTGCACTTTACCGCACCATTGTGACGAAAAGACAGCTGAGCCGGAAGGCAAAGCTCTCGATTTACCGGTCAATCCTCATTCCTACCCTCACCTATGGTCATGAAGGATGAGTCATGACCGAAAGAACAAGGTCCCTGCTGGAGCGGTTGCCCCTGCGATCCGACCCCGGATAAACGGTTGAATGGATGGATTAATAAACAACAACAAGACAGCTTGTATGCAGTTGACCTACAACGTACCTTGTGCTCATTAAGCTGGAAATATTCACAACTACATTACCTTGTGGCCTGAACACAGGAAGTAGTCGCGGATGGCCCTCGCCATCACTATGGCGACCGGGTAAGTGGCATTGACAGACTCCTTTCCTGTGGACGTCTTAATGAAGTCGGAGCCTGTTGGGGTTTGAAAAGGTGACATTGAGGAAATATTCTATCTGGTACGTCTCTATTCGACTGCTCAACATACTCCTGGCTGCTTCAACGACCTACTGATGGATGCCAGCAACACCAGGGCTCAACAATAAGATCAGCTGCAAAATTGTGGGCTAGTAAATCTAGCAACTTACTTGCCCAAGCTAAAGAAGAATCAAACAGATTTTTTTCCCAGAGCGGATGATAGAAGTAGCTAAGGAGTGAGCCATCTTGCTTCCTTCAACTTTTTTAGGAGGTGCACATCCTCAGTACCGATCATGCACTTGTCAATAAAAGGCAGCGGCTACAGACAAAGTTTAAGAGCTGAAACGCAAGATGCTGCTGGAGTATGTAGGTGAAATATTAGAGCCAAATACTAAAATAACGATAAAACTCATATTGTTTTTGTTGTTATTTCATAAATGCTCATTTAAAGGCAATTTATTATAAAGTGTGACGGTGCACATGTAGGACGAAACAGGCCGTCTGGCCTGGCCAGACAAGAACATATGCTACTTATGATGGCTAACAGAGAGCAGCTTGCACGCTCATCAATAAAACCCTTCATTTTTCATTCCTTTCCTTCACAGCCAATTATGTTTTATCAGCTTTTCTGATAAAAATAGAAGATGAAATGACACTCTTTAATAGATTACCCACAAACTGCAGGCTGCAGGAAAGAAAAAGAAAAAATACCCTCCATGGTGTATAATGACTGTTCATTACAGAATGGAACAAGATGAACATTTTTCAGTTCATTAAAGACATCTTCCATGTTTTTTTCCAGTCAGGTCTTTCTTTCAGCCTCTCTCTCCTCTTCCTCAAACTGGCATAATCCTTAAGATTCGTTATGGGGAGTCTTAATTACCAGATAATGGATAACGGTTATTAAATGTGGGTGGCGGTAATGAAGCTCTATTCATTTGCGTGGGCAGGGGGATACTGGCAAGGGACCAGCGTAAAATAGCCTGCATCTGAGATTAATAGGTGAAATTATCATTCAATTTCAGGAATCTCATATGCAATTCATTGGAACAAGGGTAGATTAAGGAGCGAGCGTGGCGACAAAAGCGATGCATTTTAATAATGATCTCTATCAGAGCTCCTGACAATTTGGTTCTGTTGTCGGCTTATTATGTGATGGCTAGTTAACAGCGCCTGTGCACGTGTGCGCGTGTGTGCGTGTGTGTGTGTGTGTGTGTGTGTGTGATCGAGGTTCACAAAATAACTTAAGCGTTAAACAAAAGAAAGCGCTAAGCAGCAGCGCCACAAGCTGGATGGCTGCAGAAATTACATCTTTTACTAACCTCTGTAGTGCCAAATGAAAACCAGGACCATCTCTAGTTAACAGCAACACACACACGTGGCTTCTTCTCAGCACTGTGATGAACTTACATGTGCATAACTGGAACGGTGAAATGGTTAACATATACAGTGTGTGCGACACGCTTATTCTTACGGTTTAAAAGAGGTTTACTTCTGTAGAGGCATCAGCCCCAGGAGAAACGGCAAGGAAATGTATCTGTTTAAGCATTTCCTAAATGAGAGGCGCACCAAGAGCATGAGATGCGTTCAGGTACATGTTGAGTAAAGCCCTAGAACACAATCACTGTATTGATTACATGCGTAAAACAAAAGATTAGAGCCTGTGTAGATGGCTTGATTTACGATATGATGTTATGTTTTGCAGCATATCTGTTCTGTTAGCAGCTCTTGAGAAGGCTGGGAAACACATACAAAAACAATATGAAGTCATAACAAATATAATTGCAAACCAGGTGAAATGATAGGGCACTACACCATATGGTTGCCACATAACCTTCTGCTTTAGATGAACAATGAGTGCCACACTGTCGGGAGGATAGAAACCCTGATACAGGTCATGTGGTCAGACTAACCAGCCATCATAGCCACCAGGCTGGCCTTGTAGACGTTAGTGAAGGTGCCCAGCTCTCCAATAGCCAGGATGGTCTTCATGTGGGCGTCACCACAGGCCGCTCGAAACTGACGGATCTCCTCATACATAGCTGTAGGAGGAGGGAACTTTTTAGTAAAAGATTTGTAGTGTCACCAATGACAAAATGCTTTTCACTACTCCACACTCATTTGCACTAATTGTCACATAAAATTTTTATTTTTGCTTTTTAGTAAGAACATGGAATCGTTTGTCTATTCTCTTATGGGCTTGTTGAGTAAGTATTAGCTATTACAGTTAAAACATTGTTACCACTCTGACAATTCTCTTGACAAAATGATGTGCAATGTGCCCTTTCTTATATTTCATCTAATGAATGCAAATAAGCAGACCTCAAGTATCTTCAACTTTTGACTTTGAACAGTCATGTACAAGAAGTCCTGAAATGCTGGGCATTACAAAACGTTTGATCACCTACAGTTCCATGACAACCGGGAAATGCCATGTGCGGATACTGAACATTTGGTAGGGCCCAAAGCACTGCAGAATATGAGTCAACTTACTATCTGCATAAATTGTTTAATAAGTTTATAATTTGGGTCGTTCACGGGAGAAGCAAGTTCTGGATCCAACTTCAATGTTGGATATTCATTTACTGTCCTGTTTTAATGACTTAGAATCTGCTGAAAAATCTGCAGGGTTAAAATTCTAGTAAAACAATTGAAAAGTTTTTTTTCTACCATTTCATTTTTTTTAATTTTTTTTATGAATTGGACAAATAAAAGGATTAGCCTCAGAGAAACTTTTTTTCTCCAGGTCTTAAGTCTAAAACAGAAGGGGAAAAAAAACCTCTGAGGCTAAAATGAATGGAGAAGGTGGACTGCTGCGAGCTGTGGGCCTCAGCGTACCTTCCCACTGTCCAGTGAGGGCAAGCATCCTGTTGATGACGATGTCGATCTCCGTGGCGCCGTCAGCCACCGCTACGCGGACTTCCTGTAGGCGGGTCTCCAGAGGTGTCTGGCCGGCTGGAAAACCAGTGGCCACTGGGAGACGAGGCACACGGTCACACACGTTTCAGTGTGTCCTGTTCACTGTTCCTGACATTCCTGCAGGTGTGGTAGAGACTCAGGTGACTCACCTGAGGCTACGGCAAGGCTGGAGTTGGCCTCTCGAAGGGATTTGACTGCGTCGGCCACACGGGATGGATACACACACACTGCTGCTGTAGTAATTCCTGACACATGACATACAACACAGCGCCAATGATGAACAGGTTTACGGCGCCCTCTGCAGGCTGAAGAAAATAATCATATAGAGCAACAAGCTCTAGGGCTGCCCTATGAATCTGTTGTACACAAATGTCTCTTAGACCATTGTGACAACTCCCCCAATATTAGGTTTGGAAGAGTTGGAGTTAACTATCAGGTACTGATTTTTTGGACATTAAAACGGTCCTGATATATTGTAAATGTTTGGATGAAATTAGTCAGCAGCAATCTTACACAACTAGAACCTAATTGCATAATAAAAAACACAGTAAACAGAATATGGCTGACTAAGTAGTCTTCAATTAATGACTGAAGACAGAAATAGGAATATATATTTGCACCAGTTTAATAATACATTGACTTTTGTATAAACTATACAGTGTGTTTTTGAGCTAGTTTTTTATTTCATAGATATTTATATTCTACCTGTACTTGGTCTAGTAGTTCAATGAAAAATGCAGTTGTGGTTTATGTTTTTTTGTGTGCAGGTGTGTTTGTATAAGAGTTCTCTGTGTTGCTGAAGCAATATAGAAGGATTACACAATAGTTAAAGCCAGTTCCTCAAGACACAGCAAAACTAAAACAGCTCATCACAACATCTACTCCGATCTCACGTGTATAGCAGCAGACCTTTGTCGTGCATGTCCACCGCCCGAAGCAGGTCATGTCGGACCGGCTGGATGGCTTTCAGGCACAGCCGGTGGACGTTGGATGGCGTGTCGTCTCCAGCGAGAGTTGTCAGGTCGATGCAAGTGACGGCCTTCAGCAGCCATGCGGCCTGCAGGCCAGAAACACGGTACGGGTCAAACCCAACAAGTGTCTCTGCTGTCAGATACAGAGTTACATACCACACATAATGCAGTTTTGTGATTCAGAATAGAGAAGAATGATATATAATATGTATATAGATGTATACACACAGCAACATGGTGCATTTATTTATTTATTGTGCCCCAATAGGTGTGGCACACATTGGATGCAGGTGAACGAGGAGCTCTACCTGCCACTGTTTCTTTGGGATCTTCTGTGCTTGTACATGCTGGGCTCTCTTCAGTACGGCGTGTGTGTTAACCCTCACTTTGGATATCCACTCCAGGTCTGACGTCCATGAGCGAAGAATGAAGGAAAAACAAATACATTTTGAAATGTGTGTTTAAAGTTCTGCGCAAAATGTTCTGTACTTTTTTTACCACGATCCATAAAGACTGAAATGCTTTACTGCTGATTTTGCACTGGACTACATTTTAATTCATCTTACCAACATACAGTACCTCTCAAACTGGCATTTACACATGTACCTAAACATCCAAGACAAGCAGCAATAAAGTATTATTCTTAAAAATGAATTTAGACCAAGAAGTATGGCAAATTATTAGAATATGCTCCCAATTCAGTGATGGTCAAACAAAATTGAACATGAAAAAAACAATGTTGTTTAATGCATCACCAGTTTTGATGTAATTAAGAGAAAGAAAAGATTTTTAAAAACTGTTCGGTCTGACATGGCTGAATTAATCAAAATGTGACTTCACGCCCTTTGTTTTATGGGAACTGTGGTAAGATAATAAAATTTGTTAGTATCTATGTTCATCCAATATAGACACAACCCCACTGTGTGTTTAGCCTTACTTAGCACAAGGCTAAATGACGTAATTCACAGCGTGTATTTGGAGTGGTTGGGTTCTGTCCGCTTGGTCCAAGTGCACTGTTTTTAAACTCATTTTACTGGGAGCACAACCGCTCAAATGGTACCAATGTTGTGACACAATTCTGGGGAAGGCAACTCTCTGTATGGATTAGGTGTCCCTTCCATCACTTTCCATCAAGTGTGTCACCCACCAACAAGGGGGTCTTTGAAAGAAAATGCAACTAAGATTATGATGGAACTGAAACAGCATCAGAAGAAAACTGCAACATGTCATCAAGCCGCTAAAAGAAGAACAGCAGTCAGCTGAGCAGGGCTGTCATATGACATTATTAAGCTACATGGTCTAACTGCACTCACGTCAATCATTTACTATTATATTTCACTATATTTTGCCTTAATATACACCAACGTTACAGTTAGATTGAATTCAGTAAGGTTAAGTGAAATGTGAAACGTCCGTGTGTCTGTTACAGTGTGTATGTTACTGTGTGTCTGTTACAGTGGGTCTGTTAGTGTGTATGTTAGTGTGTTACAGTGGGTCTGTTACAGTGGGTCTGTTAGTGTGTATGTTAGTGTGTTACAGTGGGTCTGTTACAGTGGGTCTGTTAGTGTGTATGTTACCGTGTGTCTGTTACCGTGTGTCTGTTAGTGTGTCTGTTACCGTGTGTTTCTAGTTACAGCGCGTGCGCGTTATCGTGTGTGTGTGATCGTGTTTGTGTTGTCAGGTCAGCTTACTTCCCAGATAAAGTTAACGTAATGTTACTTTATTAAACTGATGTCAAGGCTACGGGAAGGTTAGCCTAGCTAGCGTACTAAACGATTATTTTAAAACAAAGCGCATTGCAATAAAACGGGGCCATGTGATGTATATTTTACAATGTTTTAACAAAGCGCATACTGCATCAATAACGATGGCAAATGGCAAACGGTCGTACAGCAAATGTGACGCTGACGTCTGATATCCATATGTGCACAGGAAGTGACCCGACGTTATAGCGGGGGCAGAAGTAAGTTCTATTTTTCAGCTGATATCGTTACCTACCAAGCGTTGTCCCAGGGTTCCTGGCCGACATGTCAATGGACGCGATACTATTTATTCACGGGCAGATTGATATTTACAGCAAGAGCCACTGCTAGTCCAAGGTCCTATCAACCTTCTCTTTTTGTCTGCGACGGCACAGGGCTGCGGGGGGGGGATTCCGGAAGAGGAATCCCTCCACAATAAGGCACAAAAAAAACAGCTCGTGTTCCTGTGCAGCTAATTTACCAACGGAACATGTACAACACAATCGGAAAGACGCCTCACAGCAAAAGCGTGAGTGAAAAATCCAGAGATATGGTGCTCGCAGTTTATAGACACTACGGTATTGAACATTTGGTCAGAAGCCTTGTTTATTTAGCCATTGTGAAGAACAAAAGCCTTAATGGGAAAGTGTGACACTCAGAAACTATTTTTGGTGTTTGGTCCATCAGCAGGCATTTAACAGTGCACTGCAAAAAGAGGCACAAAGCCCAAACCTCTTACCCCCGAAGGTCCGCTGTGGATCCGGAAGTGGATCAAACCCAATAGTTCTACAATATACCATCAAGAAAAAAACGTAATAGAATAATGCCACATATTTCTGGAAACATCAGAGCCTGGGCTACAATGATATCAAAGCTGTTTGTATATGCTCCAAACACAACTCAAGCAATAATTAAGTGTATGAAAACAAATCCTAATATTTCTCATAAAAAATCACTGCCAAACTGCACATTCCGTCCACCATCAATCGAAGCAACATGCTAACAACATCAGCCAACGAAATGGCATCTTCACCTTTCAATTATCATTTTTTACGTTTGTCATTTTCCCCTGGGTAAATAATGTATATGTTTGGTTAGGTTTTTACAGTTTGTATTACTTTTGTTGTTGTTGTGAAATGATAGTTTGGTACAGGAGAAAATTCAAATGGGACAAATGGTTAACCTCGGCTAAACTCTCTGTCCTAAAGGCCTCTCTATTTGATCTGCTTCACTCCATCAAAGTAAAACTTTCCACAGATACTGTCCACAAACTGGGTTGTGACCCAGACTTAGATGGGTTTATAGCCTGGTTTCTCCGTGGTTTTTAGTTATGGAGACCCTGTAAGTGATTTTTTTTCAGGTGGATTCTAGAAATTTAAAAAAGAATCTGTGTGCCATCTCACAAGGGTTCCCGTTTATCCTATAGAAAAGAAATCCTCCAAATAGACAAAGTAGTTACAGAGATATTGGCTACTTTTTTCAGAGCAGAGGCCCAAAACCAACTCGGAGTGAAACTTGACAAGTCAGGAATCATTACTTCACCTTAAGACTGACATCATTATTTTACAGCTACATCAGCTGCCTATAGATATACCCTTTGAAAACTTCATGACACTTTGAAGGCATCTTTTTATAATAGAGCTTTGACACAAGGGTTAGGTCACAAGGGAATAGCTGTGACATCATCATAATGATTGGGATTCTTCTTCAGTGAGAAATCATCCGTGGCATCCCAGAGCTTCCACTAGATGCCAGTGCAGTGCAAGTTCTTAAAACTCCTTACCTTTTTTTCAATGGGGTTCAGAACTCAAAGATAGAGACCTCAAATAGTTCTTTGTCTTCACATATTCAAATCTTGCCTTTAGACCATGTTAACATTACGGTGGAAAGTCATTACATATCCGAGTATCTAGTAAAGTCTGGATAATTTAAATAATGTGTTTTGTACTGTTTGGTTTGAGAATACAGAGTAATCCTTAAAAAAACGTTGCACCAAGCATTGAGAATGTAGAGTAGGTCCTGGGTGAGCAGCAGGCTCAAACCCCCATGTCCCGTGTGTTTTGTCACGAGACACATGAGGTGGAACCACATCCAGGTTCACCAGAGCTGGGATTTTTGCAGATCTTTCTTTGCCAACTTTGAACATATTTTTGTCAACCTAGTGATAGAATTTTTCGTGAAACCACCTTAAATAGTTTTTCAAAACCCGTTGCCTCATCTATGTTCACACTGCCAAATAATGTACACGTGCATCTTCCACGTGTGTCTTTGATCCTTGCAGAAAAGAGAATGGCGCAAAGTTATGCCACTTAGGATTGTTTTTTTAGCGGGAAGAGGAAAGGGGGGTTCTCCCTACCACTGCGGCTCGGTCGGCCTTAGGAGCCTGTGCCTCATTAAATTGAGATCACGCTCAAAGCCGGGGGGGGGGGTCATACTGAGGCACCATATGAATCACAGAAAGAGTAAGAGGAGAGAGGATGTGTGGGGGGGTTGTTTCTCAATGACAGGGCTCTGGTGAGAGTGACGGAGCACTGACTCACTGAGGAATGGAACCCGCTGGAAGTGAGTCCATGGCCCTGTCTCTAAGCTGCATGCCATTCTTGGGTCCACTGGACTGAACGTACAGTAGTAGGCCTGCTGCAGTAAATACACAGTTCCTCACCTAACCTTGACTTCAGTAGAACTTTGTTTGTGGAGGTGCTCCAAAGGTTAACATGTCTGAGCCTGATAAGTGGTTTTAGCTGGTTTGTTGTTGGCAATCCAGGCAGCCGCCATGCAAAAAGGGCTTGAGCTTTTTCACTAGGAAAGGAGAGCAGGGTAATCTTTACCTCGCAAGTTTACAAGATCACACATTGCAGGTAAAAGGTGATGCCTTTATGCCGGAACCCGCAGTGTTGCGGATGGATCAGTTTTACTACAAGGAGCTACAGGCAGAAACAGGCCTGGTTTATGTGAGCACGAGTCCATATGCATGCATCAATAGCATTATCACAACTGGACCTGGTCGTCTGTGGGGTTTCAGAAGTGTTATGGTCCAAAAGCTGGGCTTACATGGGGGGTTCAGCAGATTGCCCCTTGTTTGGAATACAAGCAGAAAAGCAAGATCTATTCTATCTCTAACAGATATCTTCCTTATTTTATCCCCTCATAAGGGTTTTTGAGGCAGTTTTTCTTCTGTCAAGTCTGAGTTTGGGGACAAAGGATGTCGCAAGTGTATAGATAGAAAAGCACTGAGTGGCAACTGATTTTGGACTATTTAAAATGAGTTAAAAATGATGTTTTTGATGTAATGAAATATGATGATATAAGACATGTTATTATAATGTCAATCCATCCGTCTTCAAAGCCATTTATCCTTCATACAGGGTTGTGGGGGTACAGCCTTGATTAGTTGCCAGGCAATGGCAAGGTTGACACAGAGACACACAACTATTCACACTCACCTTCACACACCTGCAGATAATTTAGGGTCACAAATCAAGGAAGCTTGAATACCCGGAGAGAAACCACACACTTTATGCTGTGAGGCGATAGTGATAAGCACCACACCCTACATGAAGAAGCTTTAGGCCAAAGGTATGATCATTGAGTGTATTGTGATATTGACGAGGTTAGGGTCTGGTTAGGTGAGCGAGGGGCACCAAGATGGAACCATAAAGGAAGGTAATTCTTGGCTTGGACAAACGGCGGCGGTGACCAAACTGGGTGGAGCTTCTGTACGTCGTGGAGCCAATCACATAAGGCTGTGAAAATAATGAACATATTCCATTCCGAATGCAAAAAGGAAGACCCCAGCGGAGAATCTTCGGATATAATATAAATCCGATAATATATATAATATAATAAATATAATATACTTGGGTGAAGGAGATTCTCTTTTTTTAGGAAATATTACACTTTTCACAGCACCATTCACGTTGTAGCTGTACCTGCTTCTGTTAGTTATTGAATCCTTTTTGATTTTTTTAACTTAAGCCATCTGATTCTTTGACGTTGTAATAATTAATCGCTGGAGACACAGTATGCACTTTATTTATTTTTTTAAATTGCATGATTTTTGCCTCAAACTGCTAGATAATTAGTAAATGCATATGGTTCTCCTGACCCCTCAAAAGTGCTTTTACAGTTTGTGTAATCATCCACTCTGTGAAGGACAGAGATCGCACAAGGGAGTGGAGAAGTTCAGATATCTTGAGTTTACTGAACCTTAGTTTGAAAGAACAGGCAGCAAGCAGAATTGACACGCAATAAAGAGACTAATTGAATGATGCCTGGACAATATTCTCAGTTTACAAATTGAACTTAATTAACTATAACACATTTTCTAATAATAAATACATGGTCTTCTCTCTTTTTAATTTCAAAAAGAGCTGGATTAAAAATGAGCAAAAAGATTTTAAAAATGCTTATCTGATATTACTTTGTTCAATACAAATGAACATAACAGAGTGGTGTGTTGCTTAGCACTGTTGCCTCACAGCAAGAAAAACAATAATAACTTGAAAATGCATTTCTGTCTCCTTGTCTCCCCGAGTCTCTGGGTTGTCATGGAGACGATCAAATGCCGCGGAGAGTAATCAATGATTTTACTTACAATCCACATTCTAAAAAAGTTAATGTAGCTACAAAACTAAAAGTTCAATCCAGAAAATATGTCTGTGCAACCCCTCCGTCTGATTAAAATCATGTACCTCCTGCTTTCTCTGATAAATTTGTAAAAACATTTACATTGGTCCTTGTGGAGCGAGAGTTAGATTGTTTCACTCTCCACATGTCTACGACCAGCACAACATTTCCTATCATTTGGAGCATGAACAGTAAAAATTGTAGCAATGAGGGCAAAATAGAAATATGTTTTTGAACCAGATTCTGAAGCTCTCCACTCTAGCCTGCATTCTAGATTGTTCTAATAACTGAACGGTTATGTTAGAAAAAGAAAGAAGAAGATGCGTGAACATTATTCCAACAATAATAATACTAATTTTATTTTATATAGGGATTTTTGTACCCTCCCCAGTACCTGTGGTGGCGGGGTGTGGTTAGCTTAGCTGCAGAAGGGAGACAGCGGGGGAGTGGCTCAGGCAACAGTATATATATAGTTGCAGTTGCACCAGTTGCATATCTCTTGTTGGGATAGAGAACTGAAGCTTCTGAAAACAGAATATATTCCAATATTGTTCCAGACACCAGTTTTTTTTTATGAACTTTCTCAACCAACCACAGAAGTCATGAACCCTGTAAAAAAATCACTCTCCCATATGTGTTATGGATGCCATACTTTTTTTTTTTATTGTGCTGGGTAAAACGCAGTGAATATCTATACAGACTTTTGTGTAACAAGCAAGCAGAATTTGTAGAGAGGTAATACAGTAATACTATGTGGCTAGAGAAAGCAACAGTTAGTCACGGTACAAGACATTTAAAATACTCACAGAAGTAGCAAGGCAGAGGAAAATCTCCCCACTTCCCTCTCAGCTACTATGAAACATTGCATACGGTAAGAAAATTGTTTTTTTAAGGTTACATGTCCAGTAATACCGAACGATGACTGAGAGTCAAAAAACGTCTTTTAAAATTCATCCCCCAAAAAATAAACTATATACTCTATATATATCTATAGATATATATAGACATTTTAAAATGTCCTCCAAATGCTCTCGTACACCTGAATTCTTAACAGTAATTTTGAAAATGAGGTAAAGGTAAGCCTTTCTGGAGGTAGCAATTTGTATTTGATTGTACTAGAACAGGATATCATGAAGAGAAATCTAAATTAAGACTCTCAGAGCTGAAAGAATTTTAACACGGTGTCCGTCTGGCTAATGGATGCTCTTAAAAATAAAGCCTGTCTGTTTCAAAGCCATTGACTCAAAGCTACTGATCAGCCATTATCAACAGCTAACTCAGGTAGCTCATTTAATAGCAGCTTGTGTCTCTCTGTTGGGACTGGTCAGATTATTAGAAACTGCACAGGTTAGGTTATGAAGGAAATATTTTAATTTGAGTTTTTTCACTTCCGGTGTATTTTTAGGCTTTCTAAAAACAATTACAAAAAAGTAATCTTATGATCCAAGGCATTGTGCAGATTATTGGTTGGCGAGAGTTTACCACAACCTGTACTAAACAGCCACGCTTCCATTCTGTTGTTGCCGATGAAGGCTGGTTTAACAGGATCAACGTAGCACCTACGAGGCCTTACCTCAGGCACAGTTAGATATACCACGTAAACTTTTCAAAGGTTGCCATGGTGATGGGTAATGTATTGTATAATCCATCACTAAGTAAAAAGCAATTCCATTTACATCTGGTTTAACAATATCACAAGAAAAGAGATCACATTTGTGTGAAGTACACAAAACAGCTAATCAAGTATATTGAATAATATACTACTATATACTATATATCTACTAATTAAAAACAAGAAAACATATTACAAGAATACAATATACAAAATTCAGACATATTTGTTTCAAAACCCGAAAGTCACTTTGAATGTGAGAATCCAAATGTACTGAGATTGGAAGCTTGATCTGATACATTGGGCAATGAGCTTCTGCAGTCCTGATATAGATCATATCATACATGTGAATAAACTGGAGGTAGGTATTTGTGAATTGATTAGTCCATTTTTAACGGTCAGTTTGAGGTACTGTACATTTATAGGTAGTACATAGCTCAGAAAAAACGATTAAAAACTTTTCAGGCAAAAGAAAAAACATTTGTATTGATATCATGAAGTGCCATAAAGACTATTGATCCTCATTAAACCATTGTATAAATCAGAAAAATATGAATTCAAAGTAACAGTTTGTTAAAAAGATTATGTTAAACAGGTTTCATTACAATGTTGAGATACAAATTAGCATTTAGGAGAACAGTACATAATATGCTAGCTGCTTTTATGTTTTAAGTATGTAAAAGAAACCATTCAATGGAGGCTTTTTCAGGGAAGATTACATCAGGACAGTTAGCACAATGTGAGACAAACTAAGGACTGCGTCTGGACAATAAATTCACTTCAATTCTAGAGATCTCTATTGCTGCGTTCAAACCAAAAGCGAAAAGTGAAATCTCGCAACGCTTTATTCCCGTGAGTTTACTCTCCCAACTATTTGTGGTTAATTTGCATAATTTGCTTAATTCTTCAGGCTAACCACCAGTAGCCAGTTTGATGACCTGTTGGCTCAGATTGGTGCCAGGATCTCAAGACACCAACTACAGACGTTCAATCTGAGCTGCGGAGTGCCTGTGCCGAAAATTTGCTTTGTTCGCAACCATTTGCGCCTGTGCATTGACTTTGCATGGAATCTACTCACGGGAATAATTTGCTTTGCTTTTGGTGTGAACGCAGCATAAGAGATTGTGTGGAGAAACAAAGAAAACTGAAACAAAAAAACAGAAGACTTTTAGTGTTGCTGTAACATTTGATGCACAGCCTAATTATGGACAAATGGACTTCAAAACTGCAAATGTTTGATTGCAAGCTTTGTCCTATTTTCAAAATGTTACCATCATTCCTGAAGGTTATGTTGACATTTCAGTCACATTTATAATATCTAGTCTCTTTTCACAGATGAGGTTGGAGACAACTATAGACATTCTCAGTTTAACTGTTGGATGTAGAAAACACAGACAAATGTTACGGTATCATTAGGCTGGATAACTGGCCCCTTCGCATCAATATCAGTGAAGAGGTCTTACTGCCTTCAATATGAATAAAGTATATATAAGTATCGGAAGACCTGATCAGTCATTAGTTCAATGTTCGTCAGAATTTATCCGCTAAGAGGTTTGTTATAATCCATCAAGTATTTCTTGACCGAGGCGAGTAAGAGAGAATACACAATCCAAACCGAACACGACCACAACCTGTTTTAGGTAAAAACTTGTAATCTAATGATATATGTATGGATTAAGATTCAGAGTTTTAACAGATATTATTCATATCTATGCACTCATGTCATAAACAATAGGACAGGTGGTCATAGCTGCAGCAAAGAATTTTCTTTTAACGTTGATGCACATGGCTTTGTTATATAGGACTTTTGGATCTTTTCTTTCTGGATTATGTCGTGTTTACCTGACTGAATCAAACAAAAAAGACGCAGAAATCTCGATTCCCTCATGAGAAGAGAAAAACTAGCCAGCATGACTTCGCTTTAATGTGCAGTACAATCTTCAACCTGCCTTGACTTGCCTGGCATTGTTTTGTGTGCGCTGAGCAACAGTTTCCGTTAGCTGGTTGTGCAGAGTCAGAGGTAGTTTGATATCATGATAGGATGCATTGCATCAATGACCAGAAGGCGCTGGCATACCATCAGGTTTCCCTAAAGGTAAGGCTTTCTGGGGCAGTGAAGTAGTGATGAGTTATCCAGGTATCAAGTGAATCATGAGGTATCGTGTGGTTTGATTTTGTTTTTGTTTTTTTCTTGAGGTTAATGTTCTTTGACGATTCAACGTCAATGATGGAATTGAGGTTTTAAAGCTATGTTGCACAAAGAACAAACTGAATAAAACAATGTAGACAAGCTTGTTAATATAAATCCGAGCAATGGCGATACAGTAGTTTGGTGTTGGAGCACCGACAGGATGTGCAGAGGTTCTATCGTTTTCTAGAGCAGTAGAAGGGGCAGTTCACCGACATCAGCGAGAGAGAAGCAGAGTTCTGATGAGACTGTGCACATCAGTACAATGGCGTAGTCTTCAGATTGATGCTCCCCCTACTAAAGCTGTTACTCGTGTGGACATGATGATGATCTGAGGACGTCGTGTCTTGTCGAGGAGTGTGTTGTACCAGGTCAATGTGGTTTCTGTCTGTTGCCTGATCTGTTTGTTTTGACAACCAGAATGTCTTGGGCTGAACTGAATGTGCTGGTTTGAATATGTACACCAACACAACTACTAAACATTTCCTTTTACTGCATTCTATTTTGTCTATGTGAAAATGTTTGAGAGGGAATTTAAAGCTCGCAAATATTTGCTGGACGTTTCTGAAATTCTCTAATTGAAATTGACTTGAGTAAAATAGCATGTTGGAAAACGTTAAAAATAAGTGGTCAAGGCGGTCTTTTCCCTTTGAAAGACTTGACAGCTAAATGAGGTAGAGATTTTATGGTGTGGTAGTTTAGTCCTCCTCTGTGGACTCTCCAGCCTCTTCTGCTTCATCTTCTCCCTGTAGATAAAAACAAGATGACTCGTGTAAATTGAACTCGTTCAATTCCTGAATGCAAGTTATATATACGTTAGTATACATTATACTGTATATGCCTGTGTCTCCTGGCCAACGTGATCTCCAAAACCTGTTCGTAAAAATGTATACGAAATATTTGACATAGAAATTTGTAATACATACTAACTGGCGGTGGTTAACCACGCCCCTTGAGTGAACGTCTCTCCGCCATGTTGGATTCCTGAGTGAACGTCTCTCCGCCATGTTGGATTCCTGAGTGAACGTCTCTCCGCCATGTTGGATTTTTTGAGGGGGTTAGGGTTAGTATTGTATTCTTACAATTTAACATTGATTTCTCGTTAAAAATGCAATCATAACACGTTTATTTTAAATTGTTAGACTTCACAAAGTGTTTTTACGGGGTGCAGGTCCCCATTCACTTGGAATAGGGTGATGTCATCAGTTGCAGTCTTTTCGCGTATTTATTTAGTATGTATCACTACGAATTTGTATCTTCAAGATTTTCGTATACATTTTTACGAACAGGTTTTGGAGATCAGGCTGCTCCTGTCACACTTTTCACCTTCTGCATATCGGAATTCAGATTCAAGTCTGTAAAGGTTGGGAGGAGACGTCTAATGGCCATAGTACTCAAGAGCAAAGGAGGAAGCAAGGTAATGTAGTGTAAAAAGCGCACACATGGGGAAGGGGACTTTTTCGATGGATGGGTAAAACAAATATCTGTGTATGTCCTGTGTAAAACGGAAAAAATCAACATATAGAGTTATTTTTAAAGCTATTCAGAACTTTGTACATAACCAGTAACTTTGTCAAATACTTGGGTATGAAAAAAACACACCTTATCCAACCTGAACCACTTAGCCTTAGGTATTTTATTTGCCTAAACAAAATCCAATATTTCGGTTTCAGAATTTTAGCTACTTGTGCCCCCACGTGTCTGCCGGGTCTGTGCTGGAGGCCCTGCTGGAGTCAGAGCTTAAGGAGGTTCTACTAAACCTTTATGATTTTATCTTATTTCAGATTTCGACCCAGTGGCACCATGATGATCTTTGATAATAACTGTTTAGAAATAGACATTCTTCTTGATATCTGTCTCATGTATTTCTAAAGGTCATATTAAGTCATCAGTATTCAATAGAGACGGTTTTATTGCCAATTAAAAGTCCCTCAGTGTAAACAAATATGTAGTTTTTGCATGCAGTCATCGGCTATTATCTTCCTATTGTGTCTTTCAAGAGTCATTGCTGAAATATTCATACTCCTCCTTACTTTATACTGGAATTTCATGAAGTTGCCTTTGGATGAGTTATTACACTGTATCTTGTTTCATACCAGAGTGGCTCATAGTCACACTTGAAGAGGAGGAGGACCACAACAACAGCTGTCCACTGACCTGTTAATTGGGTTGATGCAGCAGCGTGGCCACAAAGTGAATGCCTAATCCCTGCCAGGAAATACTGTGTGCATGTATGATAAGACAGAGACATTCTCCATGCAGAACCATATTAACCCTGATTTACAAATCAAATCAAGGCCACATTTCATTCAGTTAATGCTAAATTCTTGGTGGGATTAAACCCCCACCTGTACTCAGATTTGTATTACCTTGATTTACAGCTATATGCCACACAATTAATGTCAACTTTGTTATTTACTTTTGATTGATATGATGTGGTGCCCGTGAAGACACCAGTAGTGGACTAGAGCTGCTGCTGTAGTACTGCTAATGTACTGCTTTTGATCGGCAGCTACTATTAAAGGGTCTTAAACTTAATTTATACTTCCGGATTAAGCAGTTTACTTTAACTATGTTAGTTTACGGTTTGGGTTTAATAGCTATTAGGGAAATGGCAGGAAAAAGTAGCTTTTGATTCATATTTACATACTTTTAGCGGAGTATTTGGGGTTGTCTTTGAGCTAGTGGCTGCAGTATTAATGATGGCTCACCAACCCTACATTCTCCTGTTTTCCCAGGATAAGTGCATGATAACCACTTCAACAACTGACGCATGGGAAGAAAAAACATGGTCCTCCTTCCTCCTCAGATGAAATGGATTTCATTTTCCACATGGCTTCATTTTATTCAGGGAGGCTGACTGACTAAATTTATAACCCTCTGCCGTTCCCAGGCCATGGCGGTGCTGCTCCAACTCCATTCATTAGTGCTCACACACTTTGGGCTTTAAAGGCCAGCTAAATGCATCCATGTGTGACAAGGGCAAGTGAGTGTAGGAGAGAAAAAAGGTGGTGGCGGTCGTGGTAGTGTGATTGGGGGACAAAAAAGAAACTTTAATCCTACTGCTGTACTTTGGTGTAGTGCTTATCTTAAAATGAGTATTTCATTCATCCACAAGGCTTTCCCTATGGGAACACTCCTTTCCTCTAATTTTTAGGATAACCGTAGATGTGGTTGTGCGCTGATGGCATTGTTATTTACACTACTAACTCTAATATGCTACAATAATAATGATGATAATTCAAAAAAAATAGCTGGCCGACGGGTGGGCTCCGTCGGGGCGGAACTGCCTTGCACAGACATGAGTGGACTATTGTTTGGGAATCGGTTCATTTTTTTAAAAACATTTTTTGATTAATTATAGGTATTTTATTCTTTCTGTGCGGACGAAATCTCAGAAACACTGACCGGCTGGTTGTCATCCCCCACAACCAAAAAACTTTCAAAACAGCGGATTTTGCCAAAAAGCGACAAGTTTGCAGGTGAAGGATGAGGGCTAAGCGGCTTGGAAGATGACTGACTGATGGACTAATTCCCCATTTGACACTACCTCTGATTGATTATGCTGCCATTGTCTAACATGTTAATCCCCTTCATGTTGTGTGTCATTCTCTATGCAGGTTTTTTTTAAGGTGTCCATTTTTTTCTTGAAACAGTTTATTGCTCCATATAGAGTTGTACTATTGTGTTGTATTATTGTGTGTGCTTGATCTTTATGTTTGGTTGTGCATCACTCAATCCTGATCCCTGGAATGAAACGGGTTTTGTACAAGCTGGTGTTGGTGGGGCTGAAATAAAGCAGCCTATCAAGTGGGAGAGCTGAATTTATTTTTTACTGCTTGCAGCTCCCAGGTCCTCACAGCGCCTTCCAACTACATTATCTCTTTTCCCACACAGCCACAAATCAGGGCCGAGTTATGCATTCACACCAAGAAGTGGCCTGCACCAGTGAACAGACGGGAGGCTGGTGGATTCCAGAACTGTGAGGAAATGCTGGGGGCGGGGGTCCTGTGTCATGTTGCACACCCTTATTACTGTTTGGCCTTCATTCTCCCTCTGATGTAGGTGCTTATGCCAGCAATCCAAAACAGCATCTAATTATCTGCTACATATATATAGTCAAACATGAGGGGATGACTTTGGAATTACACAACAAGAGACTAACTCACATCTGTCTGGGCGGTATACCGTTTCAACCAGTATCCTGGTTTCAATTTTTTTGAAATTTGAAAAATGATTAACTGATGGTTATAACATTTTACAATTAATAACGCTTTTTAACAGGGTAAAACACCACGACACGACAGTTTGTGACACATAAGCAATTTATTACACTAATAATTGTACATTTTTAAAATTACCCCGCATGCTGGGTACAGCTCGCCCACTATCAAAACAAGAAGTAAAACACGTAGAAGAGCGATGCAGGAGGAACCACGAGAAACCAGAGCTGCACTAACAGTACTTGTGCAAGAGAAGAGCTGTATGCTGTTTGGAGGATTTTTAGGATTTTAAAGAGCCCACATAAGTTAGATCATTAAACGATTTACCACAAAGTTGATCGAGCCGCTGGTATTGCCTCTGGTGGGAACACTAGCAGCCACAGCAGCTAACAAGCTAACTCGCCAGACAGTTGCGAGCGAATTGGCCAGCGAGCGGTGAATGACGAGCGGGGAACAGCTGTTCAGGTGGCAGGCGGTCATTTTCACCGTCAATGAATGAATGTGTTTACTTTAAAAATAAAATAAATGGATGTACCAGCATACTGTCAAAATCTTACCGTGATATGAATTTTTGGCCATACCGCCAAGCCCTAATCGGATGTCACCTCTGCTCTTACTAAAGCCACTGCTATATTTACAGATGTGACTTATGTAAACATGCCACTGGAGCCTTATTTCAGACAGAATTTTCCTCACCTTCCATTGCATTTTATTGTTTAGCAAAGGCACCGTAGCTCCTAGTCCAAGCAAGGCGAATGTGACTTGTTTTAAGAAGTAAAACGAACTAGAGCGTTTTTTCCGTTTGTGCAGCGTTATGATGGATTCCGCCAGAACTTTCTCCTGGAGTGTGCAGCTAGGTCCGGCTATACAAGACCCTAGGATGTTCCAAGTCTTTGAGAATCCTGGCTTCATCATTCCCCCACTTAAACTGACCAAGCCAAGCGTGTCGGGCATTATGAAAATGCATACATATAAAAACGGCCAGAAGACCAGATGACGTCTTCTGCTTTTAGAAACCATCGCCTCAGCACTAGAGAAACTTATGTAATTTCATTACAATTCAATTTTGTATACAATAACAATTGCGTCATCTTACCTGAGCAAGCTTTTTCTGGACGACTTGCTGCGGCTGCAAAAGAGCAGAATAGACCGGTTAATGTTGTCCACCAGGTATCACAAAACAACATTTTTTCAGCTGTCATTGAACAACAAATGTATTGTGGATCTATTGAGTATTGTGGATCTACATGCACCATATGGCTGTAAAAAACAGTGAGGGGGACAGGCATGGCGCTTGGGGGTGCAGGGTACCAGTGTTTCCCCTACTATATGAAAAAATACAATCAAGTACACCAAATTGAAGCAGTTTAATTTCTTTAAAAAGCTCATAGGAACCCTTAACAACCATTTTTTATAGTATTATCAATGTGCTATGGACAAAGTTTCATTGATACCAAGTTTTGAGGTCACATACCCAGACATCATTCTCCTTACAAAAGCCACATGTTAAGACTCTATAAATAGAAAATGCTTACAACTCACAATTAAAGTATATGTAAGATATAAGATTTTGAATGTGACTTGTTTCTACTTGCTCATAAAAAACACATCAAAACAAGACCTTTAACGACTGCCTTTCCTCCAACTTTGGTCTAGTGGTGATTTGTCAAATCATAAATGGAAAGAGCCCAGAAAATGCCAACACGGAAGAAGTTTGCAACCACCTCTGATGTCTCTGGGGCTTTTGAAACACAAACCATCTCTATGGTCCATATCTCCAACAATCTGTAACTCACACCAAATCTAGATTGATAAACAAACCAAAAGGTAACAGGTCCAATGCGTATTTTTTATTTTGATGTGAACTATATCTTGAAGTTTCAGTTTAAACGCCTGCCAGTGTAACAATGAATGTCTATACATTGACATTTTTTCTCTTTTGAAGGTGCGCAACAACAAGTATAGCCTGGGGTTGCATTTGACTGAGTTTTAGTGTCAGCCTTGAACGGAATACACCGACTGTGGTTTGAAGGAAGTCCTTATCGGTCTCACAACCGCATAGGAAGTTGGTCTGGACTAGGTTTGAACAGCTGAGCACTCCATCAGCTTTGAATGTAAAAAGAAAATGTAAAGTCCCTGGTGCTCGTAAACCCAGCCAGCTGCTGGTCCTAAGAAGAGAGCACAATGTCCCTAACAATCTCTCTCACACACACACACACAAACACACACAATATCAGTTCAAGCAGCTGGTGTTTTCTGTGCCAGCTCCGGCTGGAATGTCAGTAGGCTTTAACACAGTAGTGAAGTCAACACCGGATGGGTTCTGCATTAGGAATGTAAGCCGCCGTGTAAGAATAATAAAAAAATTAAAAAAATAGGGTTGTTCCTTCTTTGTTTAGAATTAATTGCATTATCTATTATCTTATATTAAGAAAAATATCACTTTACTTTTTGAATTAACAGTTTTATAAAAATATTTTCAAGTAAATTTACTTAAATATTACAATTTAATTTAATAATAATTTAATTTAATTCATAATTTTTTTCAAAATATTTTTTATGTCTTCATGATTCTGCGCGACTCTCTATCTCCCCCTCTCTCTCCCTCTGCCTCTTTCTCTCCCCCTCTACGCTCGTCCGCTTTTAACCTGCTCTGGAGGGCATGGTTCTAACACGCATGTCAAGTCCTTGTTGGTTGGTGTGTAGCTGTACCACACGCGCACCTCACTGAGCATGAAGAAAAAGAATGCAGAATCTGCCATATTTGGGCCGGCGGGTAAAATGTCCTATCTGGCCTGGGCATAATACTATCAATCACTAATAGGCCCAACTGCCCTGACCTACAAGTAAGGATGGGTATCGCTTGGGTTTTTTACAATAGCATTGCTAAACCGATACTTTTAATATGATACAGGGGTCTAAAAAGCACAAAACAACCAAGGCAATTTTTTCCTTCAAATTGAACAATATATTAACTGTTTAGAGTATACCATTTAAAGGTATGCTCGGCAAGTAGGACTGTAAAGAGGGCCCCTATCCCGGCTGAAGCCCCATCCTCCAGTCTTTCAGCTATGGCCACCCAGAAACCTCTTTCCAGAGCCTTTCTCTGCCTTTCTCTGATCGAAGTGAGGAAAGCCTCTTCTCAGAGTGCTGAGCGTGCACACGTTTCACAGAGCTATGATCAGTCCACTCCGCCATTCAAAAGCATTGGATGAACAGACAACAAGTGGTGAGTGGGCCAAAGGGCTAGGAATGTAGAATGGAAGCACAGGTGAGCGAGTTTATCCTGAGGGTGACACTACAGGAAACACCATTGGATCATTTGAGCAAATCTGGTGACTGTTTCTCTGTTAGACTGTGTGCTCTAGGTGAGACCAGAGAAAGTGTCAGCAGAGACATTGATGAGCTCTTTAGACATTTACTGCTAAATCATGGAAATTTTTTGGTTCCCAAACTCATTAAAAACAAACATTCAATTAACATTCATTAATCGCCATTAATCGAGATTAATGAATGTCAAAATGTGCGATTAATTAGTTAAACTATTGACAGCACTAATATACATATATTGTGGCATCACAAGGGGCCCGGCAGTAGGATTGGTATAAAATGGCCGCCACTGCCGCCGCTACATTTCCTAGAAGGCGTCAAGCTGTAGGTGTTTGTGTCACCTAATTGAGTCAGGGCTGGGGAGTATAAATAATGACACCTGGCTGGAAGAGGGGAGAGAGAGCAGACTTGGAACAGGCCCTACACAGAGGATCAAGGAATGAGGAAAAGCCTGGGAAAGAGCTGGTAACGTGGACCCACTGGATTGAGTTGACTAGAGAAACCTGCTTTTTGTTTAAGGAACCGTTTTTTTTCGCGGACACTTTTCATTGGTGATGGATGTTTTTTGTTGTTCTAAGAGATTACCTTAACTGTTTTTGTTGAATAAAATAAAACATACTTTTTTTTCGGCCATGGAAGTTCAACTTCAAAACGTGCCTTCATATATGCATGTGACCAGCGGACAGAGAGCACCAAGCGGACAAACAACCAAGATCTTCCTCCCCCGTCAGCCAATCCGTTCACCCGACTATTGTGTCCAGTAAGAAAGCCAGAAACCAAAATTTCTAGGTGTTTTTTTTTCCTCATTGTCACAGCGTTTCTGTGATAACATTAAGTTGCTACATACAGTAATTTAACCTACTAACCATGCTCTTCTTTAACCCTAATCTGGTAGTTTATTTGTGTAATGTGAGGATAATGAAAAGTATTTTAGTTAGTGTAACGTCGACATTCAACTTATCCCAGGGTTTTCAGAAATATACAATGGCATCAATTTCTTATGGCAACTGGGTGGTTCTAACGTATCTAAATATTTTGAGTGGGCAAATCCCAAACCTTTCGTTAACAATGACCTCTCAATCAATGATGACCCCGTTTTACTCTTGAATTTATAACATTTTAGCTCTCAGTTAAACGTGCCCCCCCCTGCTTTTATCTTGATTTAGTACATAGAATAAGCATGTAGCATATGTACTACTAATTATTTTCCGCCTGAACGCATCCCATGTATACATTGTAGGACTAAATTTACATTTAATCAAAAACACCTTCAAATGAATTACCGCTTTTTGTTGAGCCTTTCCTTCTATGTTTTACCATCTGATTGCATGTTTATCGTTTATAAATGTTCATAACTATCATATCTCTTTATCCGTTTCCTGTATGTGTGTATACACTCTTACTCTGCTGTTCGTGTGTTAATTATCCCAACAGATGATGCTGCCGCTGTTTGCTGTGGTTAACGGTTACTCGGCCTGCTAACCTTTGGACCTCTTTTCAAGCCAAAAGGATAATTTGGAAAACCTTTCCTCCACAAACGCAAGTCTGCAAAGATGAAAAGTCTGTCACGAGATATGCTTTGGGTGAAATGCTGTAGTGACCTGGAAGGCTCTCCATTTAAATGTTAAAATGTAACTTTTCCTAACCTACTCAAGTAGGTTGACATTTGACTTATCTGGCAGGTTTCAGACTTGGGAATTTGCTGCAAACTGCCTGGGAAACTTTTAGGGATGAAAGTCAATATTATTAACGAGGCTATGCCACAAGTAAAAATTACAATATTAATTTTAATTAAATGTTGGAAGGACAATGGAACCACCTGCATTTGGATTGGTTCCCTATACGCCTCAATAATGGCAATACGCCACAATACTTTTTTTTTTTTACTTGTTTGCTCTGCCTTTATTAATACACTAGAATTAGGGTTTCCTTTCAAATTATTTACAAATAAATATTGTAAAAGTGTTACGTCCATATCTATTCACCATCTTTACTGTAAAATCCCTAACAAAGATCTGGTGTGACCAATTGCCTTGTCAAAGTGTAACATAATTGGTAAATAGGGTCCACCTGTATGCAATTTAATTTTAAAATACACCTGTTCTGTTAACGCCTCAGTTTGTTAAAGAGCATTACTAAACAAAGAGCATCATGAAGACCACAGAGCTCACCAAACAGCTCAGAGATAATGATGTAGCTAACTATGAGGTTAGGTTAGGTTATAAAAAAACTTCAGGTCTCGTTATTCAGATTTCTGTTTATTTCTGCGTTTATTATCTAGATCATTTTTTGTTCTTAGATTTAGTGCAGGGATTTAATCTTTCAGGAGATTTAGTTTTTTTTATTTTAATAAACTTTGATATAGAACTTTGCTTCTTGAGTCGTGCATTTGGGTTCAGGTCCACGGTCGGACGAGTCTGAATTGAGGGAACGCTGGATGGAGCCAAATACAGGGCAATCCTTGGGGAAAATATGGAGTCAACGAAAAAGACTTGAGGCTGGGGCGGAGGTTCATCTTCCAGCAGGACAATGACCATAAACATACAGCCGCACCTACAATGGAATGGTTTAGATCAAAGCATGTTCATGTTTCACAACGGCCCAGTCAAAGTCCAGACCTCAATCCAATTGAGAATCTATGGCAAGATATGTAAATTACTTTTTAGACGGTCTCCATCCAATCTGACTGAGCTTCAGCTTTTTTGCCATGATGGATGGACATCTGCAAAGCTGGTGGAGATATACCCCGAAAGACTTAATTCCACCTCCCTCTCTATGACCCTTTCTAAACATGCGTTCTTGTGTGTTCTCGTGAAACGTCATCAGTCGCAGCCCGAGTACTGTCACAATACCCAGATGTGACCTGCCCCGACCATTTTACCGAGAACGCATCGGAACTGACGGGTCCGTTCTTGTGAGAGCCAAATATCCCAGAATGCATTTCTTCTTCAGAAAACAATGACAGAAAAATAAATGCAGCTGTAAGTTGAAGTTTATAAATACTATATTTAAGTCACAGCCAACCTTGCGGTTCCCGCCGCACTCTCTCTACCCCTGCGCCACGTCGACCCCCTAGTAATGTTTTATGTGCAGCACAAACTACAGATGCTCCCCTTCATTTTCTTTAGAAAGATGTTCAACTGTACAGCAATTTGATCTAATACATTGAGATATTTTGAGTCTGGACTCAAGTTCTTTCGAGTCCATTCTCCCGAGAACGCAAGTCCGTTCTCGCGTCTTAGGTATTGAGAAAGGGCCTATATCTTTCTCTCCTTCACTCTCTGCCTCTACAAGTCTGTTTGTAACCTGAGCCGCTCTGGGGGGCGTGGTTCGAACCCAACTCATTGATTCCTCGTGTCTGTTTCGCTTTTGTTTTTTTGAGGGTGGGTAAGGAAGCTCGGACCCCCCCCCCCCCCCCCCCCCGTCCGCCCTGAGGCCATCAATGTCATGAATTGCACCTATCAAGGTTCAACTAAATCTAGCAATTAGGTGGAATTTAACCAAGTACCCCTTGTACAGGAGGAAAAAAATGTCTGTCGTTGTAAGGAATGTGGAAAATTCATAGCAGACAAGCAGGCTTTTGTTTGTAGGGTTTCTGGGGGGTGGTGCTCTGAAAGGAAAGAAAGGGTGCAGACAAATTGGATCGGCTCCATTTGGTAGCCTCTGCTGTTTGAGGGGAAATCTGTTCCCAGAGTATCTCAAAGGGAAAGAGGGAGTAAAGTAGAAATGTAATAAGTCTGCTTAGCCTTTAAAAATATTTCTCTGCCTCTTGTTCTATGTATTGCATTGTGCTGCTTACAGAGGGGGAACAACATCTCACTCGTGTGTTTTTGTTGTTGTATATTATATTTTTCTGTTTTTGCTGTCTTGGAACTAGGTGATGCAAATGCATGAATGGGCAGGCCTGGCTGCTCTGAAACAGGAAGGACTCTGTGCATGCCACTCAGCTCTGCTTCAATTTGACGCAGCATTGCACATGTTATGAATTAACCTGTCGGGCCTGGAACAGCCCACTTCCTGCCTCATAATAGTGGTAGCAGAAATACTCTAATGACATACATGTCCATATATATTTGAGGAATTAGAAAGAACTGCATTGATAAAAGGAAAGAATGGAAAAAAATCCAATCCATCACTGCACAAAAAGCCAGGATACCACAGGAAAGCCGTGTAACTTCCTTTGCAAAACAACAGTGAATATGGTCTCCTCTAAGTAAGGATTCTCCTTCTCTTGATGTACTACAAACATGCATTTCATGGCTCGCAGGTATTATAATACCTGCAGAAAGTTAGCTAGTTTTTAAAGATGCTTTTACTGATATTCTACCTTTTAGAACTAAAATAGATTATCTTGATTCCCCTAAAAACTGACTGGGACAAACTGCCAGTAAGTGTTTAGGAAAAGAATAAGGTATCATAAATTAAAAATTCCTACAAAATCAATAAGGCAACTATTAAGATTTGTTTATACAGATATTTGTACAGACTATTTGTTTCCTTAAAAAGAAAATTGTGGTTACGTCATGTGAGCATCGTCATGTCTCCAATAGAAAATAGTGTATTTCTAAACTGGAAGTCTGAAAGGAAAGCTTTCAAATTCGGGCCTTGTTTTTTTGGAACAACTGTGAATGACAACTGTACTAGAATGATACGATGTGGTATAATATGACGATTAGTAGTAGTGTAGTACCAGTTGCAAACTACTTTTTACATACGCAACTGTGTAGCAGTTCACTGCTATGATGTTTTAGCTGAGGACTCTTCCAGCAGGGAAAAAAGGGGGTGGGAGTAAGAGAGGGAGGCATAGGTGACCTGTGGAAATCCGCTACGCTCCCAGAGAACTCCTGATGTTTGTAGAGTCTCTGTCTGAACAAAAGGCCTCTAGTGGCTGGAATTCTGGCGTTAAGTAGCCGAGGCTGGAGGAAGGTGGGTGGTTGAGAATGCAGGGAATGAGGCAAAGCTGCTGCCTACCCCCAACTCCGTTTCAGTATAGTCTCTGTGTTCTCTTACTCTCGGTATAGAAAACAGTCTGAGGAAGTAGTACAGCAGAAGCAATCTAAAAATAACTAAATGCACCTCATTCACGCAGAGTAGAGTCACTACAAATGGAATTAACTCAAAACTCATAACAGACTCCTGGCCTCCCCATACAATAACAAATGAAGTGAAGTCCACTATAGGGAAGGAGAAGGTCATCCGGAGAACGGACCTCTGCCGATGCAATGCTCCACACTTCCAAGTTTTAGTTCTGCTGACAAAGAAAATATTTGATCAAACTGAAAAAATGACCCCCTTTGGCAGACCAAAGCATTTGAGTTAAAGGTTTAGTATTTTATCTTCTAAGCACTCTAGATGTGTAGAAATTCCCAGTGGCAAGTTCTATAGCACAAAATAAGACCGTTTGTTCAGAATTGACAGAGGAAAAACCAGTCGGTTATCTGTTGAAAATAAATAGCCGAAGCCACAAAGTCATGCAAAATAATCTGCTACTACTTCAAATGTTGCAAACGCAAAACTGATCAATATTTCTTTAACTTAAGTAGGGCTGCAACAACAAGTCAAAAAAGTTTGATCATTTCTCATTCTCAACTCATTTCATTAATTGATTTGTTGTGTGGCACGATTATTACTCCCCTCAATACGATGGAGATGTTTTGAGTATTAAAAATAAGAGGGCGGAGCACAGCGTTGAGTGTGAGTATGTGAGTGTGGTGTAGGGCAGTGGCCCCCCACCGTTTTTGCCTCACGGACCCGTTTCATGGTAGAAAATAGTTTGCGGACCGGTCTTCAAAGGGTGGCTGATAAATACGCCAAATAACCAACCAGCAGATGGGGGCGGGGGTTAGTAGTCACTGCACACGGCAAATAACGCTTGGGTGTAGAGAACTAGTTCAGACTTAACAAATCCTGTTGTTAAGTTTTCTGATTTGTATTTACCTTTTTTTTTCATAAACTATATATTGTTCTTATTGTTCTGTTCCTTCCCGTTAAACAAAAAAAATACAACTTTTATTTTAAAAAGGCCTATATATTTGGCAGATGTAAAGCATACATGTGTATGTTTCTTGTGTTTGTTTTTCTTTTCAATTATTGCAACCGGTTTGTGCACTTTCTGAAGTCAGTTGAATGAAGGGCTGGAAATGAATGCTTATTTTTTTTTTTTATCCAATTCATTGATTATTCGAAAAAAGAATACACAGATGAATCAAGTATTAACATAGTTAGTTGCAGCCCTGAACATAACGTATTAAGCCAGACATGCACCTTGTTACATAGATGAGATGGTGATGTTCATATCACTCTGAAGGCTGCTAAAGCCCTTGAGTCCTTTCTGTTGAAAAGCCACAGGGGCACTCTTAAAAGTCTCAACCGAATGGTGTCAGATTCAGTTGATGCCACAAGGTGAAATGCACATTAAACTAGATCTGTTCATGTTTGTTATTAGGATTTGATACTTAAATTAAAAAGCTTTTTGAGGGTTAATTTAAATACGATACAGGGTTTGCTGCCCTGATCTCCTCAGATAAGTCCATCAAAGCTCAGGGGCCCTAACAGCTTTGGATGTTGGAGCAACAAGAAGAGAAGAATGTGAGGATCTCAAGGATGGGAGGGGGAACATAGTGTACTGAAAGATCATATACATAACAAAACGTCACGTGTGTCTTTTAGAGATTCCAAGCTTTTAACTTAATCCAATGTGAATCTTCATCATTAATAGATATTTTAGAGAATCGTTCATGACTACATAACAAATCCAGCTCTGATTAATGAATGTAGGCCTATTCATTGACTTGCCATGTTGTTGTTTATGAATGATCCTTGTGTTTCATTTTTACATTTTCCCATCATTGCGTCATTTTCCAACATTTATTTGAAAGAATTGAATTAACCTTGTGAAGTCTACCAGAATACCCTTGCACTAAAGGGGTACCCAGTGTAGGGCAGGGCGGTATGGCCAAAAATTTATAAGACAGTATTTGTATGTAAGATTTTGGCGGTATCACGGAAAACACATTAATTCATTGAGGCTGAAAAGGACCGCCAGCCACCTGAACAGCTGTTCACCGCTTGGTGGCCAACCTGCTCTCAACTGGCCAGCGAGTTAGCTTGTTAGCGAATTGGCGTGTTAGCTGTTGTGGTTGCTACTGTTTCCACCAAAGGCAATACTAGCAGCTCAACAAACTGTGCAATAAATCATTTTCTTTTTCAAAACTCCGAAAAGCAGACAGAGCCACTCTCTTGGGCACAAGTTGTGTTGGTGCTCTCTGGTGAGTTATCTCTGGTCTCTCTTTGTTCCTGCTGCATCGCTCTTTTCCGTGTTTTTTTATGTGGCGGCAGAGTTTCTTCTTGTTGTGAGATGTCCCCAGAATGCAGTTTGGC